TCCTCGGCGCCGGACAAGGAAAGCTGATCTGGCTCCGTATTGACCGACAGGGCTTGACCGCTGGTCGTGAGGAAATCGTCGACAGGGCCGGAGGAACTCGAGTTGTACTGATTGTGCGAAACCCGCGCAAGGAAGACAACAATGTGGAGTATCGTTGCACTGACGGAGTAAGTATTTGTCAACAAAAATAACTTAACAATATAAAATTCAGGTTTAACCCAAAAAATAATTCATTATTATTATCACTATACTTTAGGGATTCAGACGAATCTAGTTTCTTCATATGCATTTAATTTAAACTTTTAGCTTTGCCACCAATTATAGGTTGACACTTGTGTCCGTCTTCTAGTTTAGCTGATGTCGCTGATTCAGTTCAGATTCGTTGTTGGATCCTTGCACATAATACAATCTGCTTTACACAAATGTGACTTCAACTCCGTTAGCCTCCGTTCCTCAGAAATACCTTCTGAGGCCATTCTATAATAAGCATCCTCATATCTACGCTATATTAGGTGACGTGGACATTTCCATGCTTTTAATTTCAGACTTCTGTGAGACGAAGTAGCAAGCCTAAAGTCGAGCTATATAATTAATGGCAGCAAAAACTGCCTAAAAGATGGTTTGTAGCTGACCGGATGAATCGACTCGTCAGCCGATAACCATTCTACATTTGATCGGTTCCCTCATGGCAAGGCAACTGGGATGTGGGTAAATAGGTCTGATTTAAAACTGTTTTTTAAAGACGAGCATCATATGAATAACTGAACAATACGTAGATAATTATATTTAATTATTAGTTACATTTAAAAATGTAGGGAATATGATGGGGCTGTCTACTGTCTGGCTTAAAGTAAGGCAACGACATAGACAGAGTTAGGTGAAAAGATATTGGGAGGTAAGGTTTTCGAGGCTACCAGTAGATTTTATGTATGAGATGTATTCACTATATTTAGTCAAAACTATAGGATGGTAGTAAATAATACAAGTAGGCCTCATATTCCTATTAAATTGCCCATAGCTCTGCTTCCCAAAATGAATTATTTTCCGAACTGGACTGCAGTTTCCCTCTAGTCTCATCAGCAATGTCATTGGGACTCCAACCCGGCTTTTGGTAGTTTATCACTACGCCACGTTGCCACGTGGTGGTTCCCCTAGTGGGACTCGAACTTGGATAGTGCTGATACGATTTATAAGAGGTCTAAACCGCAGCTATCTATTGCATGCATGAGAATACCTCTGGGAAGACAAGGTAATGTGAAATTTGATGTAAGTGTGAGGTATACTCCTGTCATTGTGAGAAAATTCACCTACCAGCTTTTCATCATCTTGAGCGAAATATGGTGAAAACATCTAATTTAAATGCACTTACCTGTTGATTTATCTATTTTTGAGTTAAATAGCTGTCAATTTCTCAGAACTTTGTTGTTTTAGATTGTCTAAATAGACTATAAGACTTACAAGCTTTAGTACGTTTGAGATAAATAAAATTCTGCAGCATGATTACTTAAAGAGGCCCTCTGCAATGAGCAACTAAAGAGCTTGAGGCGTATGACATCTTAATCTATATAAAGAACATTGAATTCTGTTAAAAGTGTAATAGATAGTAACATTTAAATTACGAAAATGACTTTTTATCTACGTTTTTTATGTGGTACAGTTTCAAGAAAGCAAGGTCACTCTACAAGTACGAGACATATGCGCACAGGGCATGCGGGCCTGTATCGATGGCTCCTGCATCAGTGAAAATAAGTTTTGCAATGGCATTCAAGACTGCGCGGATGGATCTGATGAGGAGGTTGAGCGCTGTGGTAAGTTTGAGGGTTGGTTGAGTTTTTTCTCGAAATTTCCGGTCTTTATCTTGTCATTCAACTATATTTAGTGATGGTCCCTTAAAGCGAAAGTAGGACAAAAATGTTTCGTCAAGGCAAGCAAAAATAGCAGGATATCAGTAGGTAGATGGTATTTTAACGGGCCCAATTATCTTTCAAAAGATTTCTCATATGTTGTAACTGACCGACTTCCTCATTACACAAGCATGGTACACTTGACACAACCTTTTTATGCTTAGGTTCTAAATATGACCTATCAGAAAAGGAGGAGAAGTTTCTATTGGTAAAGACCTTAAGCAAAAGCAAAGGGATTGGTTGAATCAAATCAACGGCATTCTGGAGTTCACGAGCAGGTACCTGTTGGTTAGGTTCAATCTGGCACTGTTCGTGCAGATAGTGCTAGAGGCCAAAATGTCGAGGTCACTCCTACTTACTATGCTTTACATAAACAATAGAAGCGTTTC